ACAAAAACTGAAGTTGCTGGAAAAGCTCAACAGGTCTGGCAGCATATATTCTGAGGAAGGGTCACTGGACCCAAAACGTTAAAATACATCGTCCCCTTAACACTGGTTTGGATTCACTTAAAACTCAGTTCTCATGCAGTAAGTAATTCAGGTTTGTATTTACATTAGAGTGGGACAGCCTTGTGCAACAGGTGGGCTAGGGCAGCTGGGGATGGGCAATAAATGCAAGCCCACTTCCTATTAACCTCTACTCACCAGCACTCTTAAAACAGATACACAATAACCAGGAACAATGCTTAACAGCTACCTGCTGAGGAGAGGTGAGGCGGACTCTAGAAAGGGGATAACTAATTGCGATTAACCATGGAAGGGAAGGATAGTATCAAATAGAAAAGGGAAAAAATAAGGTGGCAAAGGTAAGTTGTACACAAGAGGTTTCAGAAAGTTTTAAAAATAACCAAAACATAACAAAAAAGAAAATACACAGAGGGCAAACTAGCAAGTAATATAAAAACGAACAGTAAGAGTTTCTATAAATTTATAAAAAGGATGATAGAGACCAAAGCAAACATATGTCCTTTAAAGAATGAGGCTAAGGAAATAATAATGGGGAACCAGGAAATGGCAAAACAGTTGAATAAGTACTTTGCATCAGTCTTCACAGGGAGGACATTAATAGCATTCTAAAATTACTAAATAATCGTGGAGCTAAATGTGGAAGGAGGGGCAGGAAGAGGAGGAGGAGGAGGAAATAACTACATCATCATGAGAGAAAAAAAAGACTCAGGCAAAAAAAAAGGATGAAAGCCCGATAAGTCCCCTGGCCCTGATGGGTTACATCCTACAACTTTAAAAAGATAACAAAGATATTGTGGGTGCTCTGGTAGTCTTCCAAGAATCTTTAGATTTGAGAAAATCCCAGACAATTGGAAAACTGCCAATGTAATACCCTTATTACAGGGATAGAGAGAAAAATCGGGTGACTATAGGCCAATGAGCTTACCATCTGTCACTGGGAAAACGTTAAGTGTCTACAATAGAGGATACAAAATAAAATTAAACAGAGTCAGCATGGCTTCATGAAAGGGAAATCACGCCAGACATATTTATTGCAGCTATTCGAGGAGATAGTAAGAAGGATAGGTAAACGTGATCCAGTAGATGTTATAGAGTCATAGAGATGTACAGCACAGAAACAGACCCTTTGGTCCAACTCGTCCATGCCGACTAGATATCTTAGATAAATGTAGTCCCATTTGCCAGCTTTTGGCCCTTATCTCTCTAAACTCTTCCCATTCATCTACGTATCCAAATGACTTAAATGTAATTTTACCAGCCTCTACCACTTTCTCTGGTAGCTCATTCCATACATGGACTATCCTCGGCGTGAAAAAGTTACACATTAGGAATTGAGACAGGTTAAATAAGTGGGCAAAAACTTGGCAGATGGAGAATAATGTGGGAAAATGTGACCTTACACACTTTAGCAGGAAGAGCAGAAGAGATGAATATTATTTAAACAGAGAAAGACTGCAGAAAGCTGTAGCACAGAGGGATTTGGGGGTCACTGTCCATGAACCACAAAAGCTAGCAGCCAAGTTCAGTGGGTACTAGGAAAGCAAATGGAATTTTGGCTTTAAGAGTATAAAAGGTAGACAGGTCCTACTACAACTTTATAACACATCCAGGATACTGCAAACAGTTTTTGTCCCTTTATCGAAGGAAAGATTTAAGGCAATCCAGGGAAAGTTCACGAGGTTGATTCCAGGTGTGGAAGGAGTTTCTGATGGAGGAGAGATTGAGTAGGTTGGGCTTGGACTCATTGAAATTTTAAAAAAATTAGAGAAGAGCTTATTGAAATAGGACTTTTATGAGGCTTGATGGGAGATGCGGAGAGATTATTTCCCCTTGGGGTGGGGGGAAAGAATCTAGAATCGGACAGCATCATCTCAAAGTTAGGGGTAACTCATTTAAGAAAGAGATAAAGAGGTAAAGAGGACTTATTTCTCTTTCAGAGGGTAATAAGTCTGTGGAATTCTTCACTGCGGTGGGTTGTTAAGGCTGGGTCATTAAAGTATACTCAAGGCTGAGATTGTCTTATTAATTAGAAATTAGTCTATCACAGGTAACAGGGCATACACATAAAGTGGAGTTGATAATTATCAGATCAGCCATGATCTCATCAAAAGATGGAGCAGAAACCATGGGCTGGACAGCCTACTTCTGTTCCTTACACTTTTAATGGCGGGCAATCATTTCCATTAGCTCTCCATGGTAACTGTTTTATGAAGAAGGTACAATGTGTGAACTAGTTTGTGCCATGTTATTTTGAAGGTCTACCTACTCACATAGCCACTGTGTGTGGATACAACCCTTGATCAAGGTCCTAAAACTAATTTAATACTAAATCAAGAGAAATACGTTTAAGAGAGGCTGTTTGACCAGAAGCCTCACAGTCACCTGCCCTTTCAAGCTGCTTCCTGACTGTAATTACTGTGTTATTCCAATCGTACAGATAAACCAAACCTCAAACTCGTCCGGGACCAGTCCTGCCCCTTGCAGACTGTGACCTTGACTGGGAGTTAGACACCTTGCCCAGTTCGACTACCCAATCTTTAGCAGACCCACCCCAGTTTATACCGCCCTCAGTGGCCTGTCAGGGTTCCCTCGAATGCCCAAGCCCAGTATATGTGCGGACACCTCTGGGCTATCCCGCCTGCCGGTTTACCGTCCTCATGTTCCGCTTCTTGAGTCTCCTGGCCTTGGTGGAGTACAGGAAAGCTCTCCGCACCGCCCGCAAAGCAAGGCTGTAACATCGGTTCTTCCTGCCTCGGAAATGCTGCGAAAACAAAAAGAAGACTCTCACGAAAATCGGGTCCCGATGACACAAGAAAGGCCCAGGCCCAACACAGCCAAAGGCATTCGTAAAGCGGTCTCAGGTCCCGAACTGTAAGCCGGTTCCCTCATCCACCCACTAGGCCAGGCTCCGATATAGTTCTCGTCGACCCCTCTCACCCGGGCATGTTGTAGCACCTCCTGAACCCGCCAGTAGCGGTCAGGCCCTCGGCTCCGGATCCAGCGGGACAGCGACAGGAAAACCATGGGCAGCCCCGGTACCCTCCGCTCCGCACCAAGCTCGGCCTCGTCGAGAACACCGGGCGCTTGTTCCGAGTCCGGAGTGAGCTCCGCCCGCAGGTGGGCGGGACCTGGGCTCCTGTCTCCAACCCGCGGCCTTTTTAAGACCGCGTTACTCGTTTAGAACGCGGTGTATCTGTTTTAGAACGTTGTGTATCGCCCTTAGAACACAGTGTA